TTCTTTTTTATATATTTTTAATTGTGATTTTAATGAAAATGTACATACAGAAAGGTTGGTTTTTCATTCACTCAAGAGGTGCACTGCAAAGTGGACTGGGGAAGTGGAGAGGGAGGAAGAAGGCGGGACATGTGTAACAACAATGTTCCCTTTTTGTGACTTTAACAAAAATTTTCAGAAAAGTTATTTTCATTCATTCATTGTTACACATTTTTACCCTCTTCCTCCCTTCCTCCTCCCCAAGTTTACTTTTTTCATACTAGTTTATTTACTTGTTCACTTTTAATAATTAAAATGAACATTTCGTTGCTGATTGTTTACTGACAATTATTTCTACATCATCTTTATGATTTCGTTAAGATCTTTAGGATTCATCGTTATGTGCCATCGAGTCAGAACTTACTCATTGCTGACCTGCAGTGGGTTTTCAGAGGCTGTAACTACCCTATGAGCTCCTGCACTGACTGCCCAAACCCAGAGGCTGTGAGTCTCCCTGGTTAAGATTTACAGCCTGGGACACTCCATGCCTGTGAGATTGCCTTTTCTGAGTGAGGCTTGAAAAATCAACTTCAGGGCAATGGCTACCGCAGAATGTGAACTGGAAAAGAATACCAGCACACTGCTGAAATCTGTTAAGACATAATATGGGACAAGTTGACAGTACACACATATATAAGTGACCCCCCAAATCATCCAAGTGTTTTTCTTAAAATACACGTAAAATCCAGTGGTTTCAGCGGCAAACAAATAAGACCACTAGCTGATGATGTTGCTGTTGTCAGGTGCTGTCAGGCCGACTATGACTCATAGACTATGAACAACAGACCTATCCTGTGCCATCCTCAACCATCTCTGATAAGCTTGAGCCCACAGTTAACAGTCATTGTTGTCAATCCACCTTGTTGAGTCTTCCTTTCTTCCACTGACCTTGCACTTCTCCAGATATGATGCCCATTTCCTGCCATCTGCCCCGTCCCCGCCCCCAGCGCATACAGGGTCCCTCCCCCTGCCATTCATCCTCCGGGTGCTCTCGGCGCATGCGCGCTCTTCCTGCCATCCATCCTCCGGGTTCCTGTCCCGGCGCATGCGCGCTCTCCCTGCCATCCGTCCCTGCCCCGGCGCATGCGCACTCCTCCTCCTCACCATCCCATTTCTTCCCCGCGGCCCCCACCTCCGCGCATGCGCACTCGCCCTCTTCGCGGTGGCTGCTGTGTCATGGCTGAGCGGAAGTTTGGGTTCCGCCGGGAAGGGGATCCAGAGGGTGGGAGGCGCTTTCTCCCTTCCTGTCGTAGCAGCACATTCCCTCCCAGAGTGGGGGACTCCCTACCCTGCACGTTGCCGAACACCTCGTAGTCCACGGATTTGAGCGACTCGGCAGCGGTCATGGCGGCGGCGAGCCGTCGGCCGAGGAGCCGGAGTGGGGTTCGGGGCGCGGCGACTGCGGCGGCCGACAAAGGCAGAAGGCACATGGGGCCGCGCGGCTCACCCCGCGCCTGTCAGCGGGCCGGGACGCGAGCGCGCGGGGTCACGCGTCGCCAGGCGGCAAATGAGACGGCGGGACCCAGCCTGGAGGGCAGCCGGGGACGCGAGCGCGAGGCGGCCGGGTGGGCGCTGCGCCCGCCGCCCCGAGAACCGGGCTCCCGCCCGCCCGCGCGCCCGCCGCGTCCCCGCAACCACGGAGTCAGCCGTCAGGGCCACAGCCCAGCGCTGTCCAGGGGCGGCCGGTTAGCCACCAACCGCGATGGCCTTCCGAGGAAAGGACCGCGGCCGTTAGGTGGATTTTTTTAGGCAATTAATTTTTGCGAAGATTTGATAACTACCCCTAGATCTACCTGGCAACCGCTAGCCATCTATTCAAATGCTGTCTGTGCCCTCCTCTTCTCTGTTAATTTCAGAACGGCTTTGGGGCTGGATCCATGAAACGGGAAATTGGCTCACAGATCTGAGGTCTTAAGGTCATATTGACCAAAAATGTTCCCATTTTGCCTGTCTTGCGCATCAGACTAAGACACTTTGTGCTTTTTAGAAACCCAAACACTTCTTCAAATCAAACCAGACCCGTTGCAATAAAATAGATTCCCGCTCACAGCAACCCTCAAAGACAGTCAATTGCCCTGTCAGGTTTCTGGACTGTGCACAGCTGGCCGATCGGGTGTTTACGTCACATCCAAATCAGAGATCCTCTTTCAAGGTTAAGCAACAAGTGACAGCCATTCAAAGTGAGCAGTTTTAAAGTCTCATGTAGAACATCTGGATACAAGTCTCGAGAATCTGCCTTTTTCTGGATTTCAGGATACTTTGGCATACATCTGTTGGCTTCCATACATTTGCATCTTTTTCAGCATCAGGCTATCATAGTTAAAATTACCTACTACAATGTGGTCCCAAAAGTGCCTGTTCCATTAAAAATAAAAACCTACACCACTGCCATGGTGTCAAATCCTGTCCAGCTCCCTCCATGGGGATTCCAATCTGTAAATATCTTGACTGCCTAATCCCTCCCTCTGGCAGCTTGCTGACCTTCGAGTTAACAACCTGATATGTTAAATATTGTCACCAGAGCACCTGAGTCAAACCTCAAGCTCATTGCTTTGAATCAAAACCAACGCATAACTGACTCCAAAAGTGGTCTTCAGAGGCTCTAAATCTCAGGAAAGGACGTTGGCCATCTGTCACCTGCAGGGAAGCTGGTGGATTCAAGCCACCTGCCTTTAAGGTAGCAGCCCAACTCCTTACCCACTAGGTCACCAAAGCTCCTTAGGCTCTTGATTAAGGAACCCTAAAACTTGCTTAGAATGTGGCTAAATCATCCTTTTAAAGTAAAATACACAGAATTCTGGAATGGAATTGCTCACTAGATGAATTCCTATTAGAAATAATGAAGATCCTGGTTAACTTGTCATGTGCTGTCAAGTGAGAATGAACTCATTGCTGACTCTCTAGCAGGTTTTCAGAGGCAGGAAGTGCCTAGGGTTGAGCTGCTATCTGAAATGTCGGTGGTTTGAATCTATAAGGTGCTCTAAAGGAGAAATTCTCCTCTCATAAAGGTTCATAGCCTAGGAACCCTGGTACATGGTCACAATGAGTCAGCCCCTCCTCTGTGACAGTAGGTCCATAATTGCAGAGAGCTTGTCACCTAGTAGGAGCTCTGGTGACCTAGCGGTAAGGAGTTGTGTTGCCAACCCAAAGGCATACAGCTGGAATCCACTAGCTGCCCAGTGGGAGAAAGATGGGCAGTCCCTTCCCCTGTCAGTAACACCTTCTGAAAACCTTGTAGAGAGTCAGCTTAGAGCCAGATCCATCCCAGCACTTGATAACAACAACTTGTCTCCTGATCCATTCCATGAAGACTATGGAACTACACAACATCTAAAGCCATTTCCCGCAAATGTGTTTCTGATTCTTTTCAGCGCATTCAGCATGAAATTAAAACTTTCGCTTTAGGGGAGCTCTGGTGGCCTAGTGGTAAGGAGCTGCAACTACAACCCCAGAGGCGCATGGTTCAAATCCACCAGATGCTCTGCCAGGGAAGGAGGGACAATCTCCTCCTGTACCAGTCAGATCTGATTTGACGGTACACTCACACAAAAATAATAAAATAAAAATAAAAAAAACCCAAAGCCCTCTAGCTTTCATCTCATATTAACTATTTACCCACATTTTGCAGTTGACTTATAGTCAAGGCGCTTCTGTTCTTTAAACATACCCTGACTTCCCTCCCTCTCCCCCCCCAAAAAATACCTTTGCTCAGGTGTTCTTTATCTGTACTACTTCCTCCCACCCCTAAATCCTTCCTGGTCTTGTTTCCTTAATAGATTTCACCCCAGTAACTTAGTTGTATCTTCCCCAGTCCCTCGATTGTAGGCCTTTTAGTATCTTGGTGCTGCTGTAACAGAAATACCACAGGCTTTAAGAAAGAGAAATTTGTTTACTAAATAAAAAGGTAAAAAGTCCAAATAAGGATTCTTTCCTTGTTGACCAACCTGACTGCTGGGGTCATAAGGACCCTCACATAGCACAGATCCACCCCTGGGTCTGCCTGCTTCTGCGTGTCATTGGTTCTCTGTAACTCAGGTGTGATTTGGTTTATGGAGGAGCTCAGAAAAGGGAGGTGTCTAGTGTAAGAGGGGCCTTCTGCCGAAAATGCAGGCCAGCCTCCTCTTCCCCACCCCCCTTGACGATTCTGCACTAACTTTAAAAGTCAGCTACCCAGCATCCCTCAGGAGGCCTGATTCTCCCCATTGCTCTCACAGCACACTCCCAGGAAAAGCTCGCAGCTGGTTCTGGAAAGATCCATGGATTAATTTGCTAAACAACTCAAATTTTACTATTAGGGGGGGGCAAAAAGTTTTAGGGACCTCATCATTGCTTCATGCCTGTCAAAGCATGATTTTGTAAATGTCAACAAATCAGGTTGTTTTTGTTTGGGGGGGCTTGAGTGTGTGTGTGTGTGTAAGAGAGAGAAAGAGTGAGTTGGGAACTTTCTACACTTGCCTCTGAAAAAATCATTTCCCTGCAGTATTCTGGATCCTCAGGTGGTGCTGCCCAACTCCTGATCAATTTGTTCCTTGAGTGAACTCTCTGCTTTCGTTTTAACGGAAGTGCCACCTTGCCCTTTGTCAGGTGTAGGACATACCCTTGCAGTGATAAATCGATGCCCTTGAATTGTAGAATTAGAGATGACTGAACATCCCATGGACTGACAAAAGTAAGTCTTAGAGGAAGTTCTCCCTTGGAGGCAAAGATGATGAAACTCTGTCTCAGGTAGTTTGGGGGTCAGTTCTTGAAAAAAGACATGCTGCGAAAGATGAATAGTCGGAGGAAGACCCCTAACAACATCAATTGATCCAGTAACTGTAACAGTGGGCTCAAGCGTATCGGAGATATGGCACAAGATACAGCAAAGTTCTGGTCTGTTCATGGGGTCACCATGCGTCGTATTCAACTCAATGGCACCCAACAACAACTACACTGATATTGATCACCAATACTTAAAACTTCTTTTCAAATGTCATTATAGCTACAGTTAGATTGTTGCATATTATTGAGTCAATTCCATACCTTTATGTTGTTATGTATTGTTGAGTTGGACCGGCTCATAGCTGACCCTCCTGCATGTTTTCAGAGGCAGTAAATCAAATGGGAGGAAACTGCCCATCTTTATCCTACAGAGCAGCTGGTGGATTTGAATAGCATGCTTTCAGAAGGTCAGCACAGCACCTTACCCACTCGGCCACCAGCACTCCCATAAAACTCTCTGGTAGGGTTACCTGCTAGGTTGAGATTGTGGGTAGTAAGGGAACATTTTCTTGTGGTTAGGAGAACTTTTATAGATCAAGATAGTTTCCTGTGCAACAATCTGTAAACATTTTGTTTTGTGTTACTGGTTGCATTCTCCTTAATGTTACATCACTCTTCTCATTTCTTCCCTGAGTTCCCCATTTCCATTTGCTCATATTTTCTGTCCCTTCCTGACTTCTGAACTTTGTTTTGTGGCAAGTACTGCCCTCTGATCTCTTAGGTCTGATTGTTCTGAGGAGCACATTTCTCATAGGTGATGGTATTTATGTATCTCATTTTTTGTTGTTAGGTGTTGCCAAGTTGACTGTCATTCATAATGACTCTGTGAACAGACTTAAACATTGTCTTATCCTGATATGCTCAATCCCTCTGTCAGAGTCACAATGTCAATCCATCTAGTTGAGGGTCTTCCTCTCAGTAACCCTCCACTTTTCCCAGCCTAATACCTTTCGCCAAGAACTTGTCCTCCTGACAACACACTCAAAATAAGTGAGACAAGGTTTCACCATCTTTCCTGTAACAAGCATCCTGGCTGCATTTCCTGCAAGTCAGACTTGTTTGTCCCTTTTGGCAGTTCATCAGCTATTCCATACTCTCCTCCAACAGTACAGTTCAAAGGTATCAGTTCTTCAGTCATCCTTACTTGCTGTCAAAATTTCAGATTCCCAGGAAGCTATTGAAAAACATAACATGGTTTGGATCAACTATACCTTACTCTTTAAAGTGATATCTTTGCTCATTACCACTTTACAGAGGTTCTAGACAGTAGATTTTTTCCCCCCAATGCAATGTCTTTTGATTTCTTGATTGCTATTACCATGAGTATTGATTAGAGATTCAAGTACAAGGAAATCCTTGATCATTTCAATCTTTTTTCCAATCTATCATGATGCTGCATGTTATATATTTGTTTATTGTTTGATCAAAAGGTAGTCTCTGAGAATAGATTCATTTCCAGATTTGAAAGATTTCTCAGGGTTCCATCAGTCTCTATCAGACATGAAGTCTCGTGGGCTATTTTTTTGTTGTTGTTGTTGTTGTTGCTGTTTTTATTATTTTTAATTGTGTTCCACATGTTTTCCCCCACTCTGTCCTGGACGTTTTATTGCAGTTCTGCTCTGAGCAGTCAGTGGTGGGAGCCAGGCACCATCTAGTTCTGCCGATCTCA